GATATCTTAAGTGACCTCCTCAACCTGCATTTTCTTGTACGAAACGCCCGTTGATGTGGAGTTTGGGTCAACTAAGTCATTGCATAATAGTGATCGCTGTTGATGGTTTGACTAAACAGTTTTGTAAACTCTTTCTATTGTTTCGAAAGTCTACACTTTGTCTTTTGCCACGTTGATCGTCTGCTTAACAGCGCTATGAGCGTTCATTTTGAATATGTGATTAGCTTCTGAGTATGTGCATTGGACGCTAGTCGTACCAAGCACTGTTTTGTTACTATAAGTAATTAGGTTTCAGCAGTGTAGAATAACATTTTCCCGTGACAACATTTTTCGGAAGTGCTTGGAGTTCGAAGTTTTGGTCCATTAAGTACGGGGTTTTTCGCATAACAAAGTATGACGTCGGGCAAACCTGGACAAGTCAAGTGACGCATGTGTGAAAAATGACAAGGGAGCGACATTGACCCAACCAGCAACATAGTAAGGACGTGAAAATAACGTTGTCCTATAGCATAACCGAGTAAATCGTACCTTCACATTGTCATGTAAATTAACTTAAGCCATAGATCTGAGGCAATGAATTCGAGCGAACGATAGGTTTCCGAGACTCACTTGTACAGTTATTTTGGTAGACAGAGAGAAGGATGCGTGGTGATTGATCTAGGTGTTCCACGGAAGATACTCTGCATTCCAAGTCTGTCAGCAACAGGACTGCAAGTGTTGCACGCTGATCACTTGAATTAGACGTTTCTCTGAGAGAGTTTGTTAAACTGTACGGCTAAGCTAATTTGTTGCGGTTCCTGCCTTGTCACTGAAAACACCTGTCCTGTTCCAAGCAATGCACTGGCCACCTTAACATTGGAAAGCGTAAGTGAACTGAACAATGGCTGCTTGATTGTTGTTCGTTTCACAATTTGTACATCATAATTGTCATTGAACCAAATATTGTTTTGTACCAAATAGCGCAGCAGCGTGTCTTTGAAACATTCTGTATCTCTCCACTGGCACCAATCGAACCTTTTCACCTAGGAATCAAGTTAAACACTAGAGGTAGTTATCACAGCAATGATTATGAAGCACACACTTTTCTGTAAGTGGCACAACTCATCTACTTCCTAAGAGCGTATGCTGCCCAGAGGAACGAGGGTAAATTAAAATCAAATTTGCCAAAGCGTCACATTCGGGACCAAGTGATCAGTTCGTAACTCTGTTCGACATGCTCTGAAGAATTGCCTACAGGCCAGAACCGCAGAAAAATGGAATCACACCTGTAGAGCGATAAGGATCATGCTGACAGCACCAACTATCGAGAGGTCTGTCTACAGTGTGTAGTTGGAAAAGTCTCACCTCTTATCATTTTAAGTAGGCGGCACAAGCTTGCTAATCTGAGCTACCCAGAATCTCAATCCGAGTTCAAGGCAGGGAGGTTAGCAATCAACATGATATTCCCCACTAATTAGGTCAAAAAATACAGTGGATAAAGGTGTCCGCGATAGGCTACCTTCGTTGATTCAGTGCTGACCTTCGATTTCGTCCACAAAAGATGTCTCTACGAATCGCTGCTCAAGATGGAATGTTCACCTAGACTTTTTAGACTGAGCGCATCACTGCAACAGAACGTGAGCGGTACTGCCCAACCCAGCGCATATCAATCAAAAACAAAATGTAACAGAATTGAGACTGGGCCCGACACCCTTGTGTTTTCTTATCACTACTGCTGTCTCAGATATTCAGCACACTGGACGGCGGAGAATGTCTTAATTTAAGAAGTGATATCGGAATACTACTCGGCGCGAACTTTATCATCGGCTCTTGTCACATTTCCCCGGTCGTACTTTGGAGAGCGTTTGGATTCGTCTGTATGCGCTGATTTAGCAGAGGAATACTGTCCCCGCTGCCAATCCAACCACCGCCTCACAGACTAGCACGACAACGGATATTGGGTCCCAAGCTGCTCATCACTCTGAGTGGTTTTCCTGTTTGATCCAAACAGCGATTACCCAACTGGAGTCCAATAGCGAGGCTTTCCTTCACAGTGATGAACTACTAGCTATTGCCTGCGGTCTTCAGGCAGGTACTTTCACAGTGGTACAAGATAAATCGCTGCTGAACATGCACGCCTCACTAACTTTTTCGTACACCTGTCGACTTGTCACTCGACGACGTGGTCGTGTTAACGTGGGAACACACGTGACCACGAAACAGATACGGAGGGCTAAATACGCAGCGATCCAAACGTAGTACCGCCAGCGTAAGAAAGACGCTGCGTTTGCAGTTTTTTCTGGCAACTGGAGAACTGTCTGTAGGATGAACCCCGGCCTCCCAGATAATTCCAACGAATACTGGTCCGAGGTACTATCGCCTCATCCGCACGTTGATGTGGGATCATCTCGCACAATTCTGCCTCCGGACTGGTCATTGGTCGATCCGATCACTGGAGAAGCATCACGCACCGTGAAACACATGGGAAACACCACTCCAGGTTTGGACAAATTGTTGCCCAAACATTTGAAGCGTATGAAAACTGATGTCTTGGCCGGATACTTCAACCTGTTCCTGCTAACCCAAAGTTGTCCAATTCATTTATGCCGCTCTGGCATCACGCCTGTACCCAAAGTGAACTACCCTTCATCTACCGAGCTCGGACCTGTCACCTTATCTTCAAAGTTGTTGCGTTATTTCCACAAGATATTGACCGATCGTTGGAATTCGCGCTTGTAACTGCCCGCTCTCCAGTTTGCATTCCTACACCTTGACGGTTGCCTTGAGTCGACCTAACTCCTTCATGCACTGCTTTGGAACTCATGTACCACGTCTTCAAGTCTGTGTGCGGTTTTTATCGACATGTCCAAAGCGTTTGATTCTATCTCACAAGATTCGATTATCAGATCGGCCCGAGCCTTCGGTGCTCCTCCAACCCTAACCCATTACATTGCCGACTCCTATAGGAGTGTCTCTGCCACGCTCAATGGTTCCGTTCCCCGATCCCAGCGTGGTGTTTGCCAGAGTTACCCACTGTCCCCGCTTCTATTCATCATGGCAATGGATGAGGTGTTGGCACTATCACGACCGGAGCTTGGCTACCAGTTCCACGATACACTGGTTAACGTTTTCGCTTACGACGACGATCTGATCCCTTTAACTGAGAATCCTACGCGACTCTCTGAGAAGCCTGCGGCCGCCGCTAGTGCCCTAGAACTATTCGGACTGAAGATCAACACACAGAAGACTAAACTCATGGTCATCCGTGATGACCATAAGCACAATGTAACTGCCATCTCCGATGAGTCTATCCACTTCGGCCCGGACATTATCCATTCATTAAGCGCCTCCGACGCGGTGACCTATCTAGGTATCCCGTTCACCTGGAGGGGTAAAGCATTCACAAATCACCGTCTGCAACTTCGTACGATGTTGGTTGAAACTACCAAAGCACCTTTGAAGCCACACCAACGTCTTTAACTCCTGAGATAGCATCTGATTCCGAAGATGAATCACTCGTTAGTATTGAGCCGAGTCCACCGTAACACGCCCAACGCTATGGATTGTACGATTCGCCAGTTTGTTCGGCAGTGGCTCCGCCTTCCTAAATACATACCAATCAGCTTCATCCATACTCCGATTCGTTTGGGCGGTTTCGGCATCCCAGGTTTGTCTGCCACTATTCCAATCTCGCGCAAATCTCGAGTGGAGAAACTTCTCTCCAGTCAATGTTCACTTCTGCGGAATATGGTCAAAGATAATTCGTTTGGCCCTATCTTCAGGGAAGTGAACACCCCAGTACTCGTTCAGGGTGTAGTGGTGACGAACAAGAAGGAGGCCCATGCGGCGTGGATGGATAAACTCTACCATTTGCTTGATGGCCGTGGTCTTCAAGAAGTGTCACGCTCTCCCCTCTCAAATCGTTGGCTGTTTAACCCAGATCGCTTCTTCTCCAGAATTTTTATTCTTGCCATCCAGCTCAGATCTATTCTGTTGCGGACTAAAGTCCGAAATTCACGAGGTGGCCGAAGTGATCACTCAGTTCTTTGCCGTTGCAACTGCGGTCAACCGGAAAGCCTTGCTCATTTTCTACCATCATGCTGGATCACCCATGACGTGCGTTGTGCTCGACATAACCGTGTGGCCAAAGACCTGGCGAAACGACTGCGCAAGTTGAGCTATACAATCTTCGAGAAGTTGCGAGTACCAATGGCGAACTCGTTCATCAAACCCGGTGTTATCGTGGTTTGAGACGGCGCTGCTGTGGTGCTTGACGTCATTATAGTGGATGATTACCGAAGCCAATTTGCCTGGACAGACAAGATTGCGAAGTACGGGACCGACTCTCATAATGTCGCTATTCTGTCGGTCATCCATACTGTGGGCTGTGATGTGAATTCTGTATCTCGTTCACCTGTGA